ACCTATGAGGAGAGGCTGAGGGAGTTGGGTCTGTTTAGTCTGCAGAAGCGAAGAGTGAGGGGGGATTTGATAGCAGCCTTGAAATTCCTGAAGGGAGGTTCCAAAGAGGCTGGAGAAAGGCTGTTCTCAGTAGTGACAGATGGCAGAACAAGGAACAATGGTCTCAAGTGGTGGCGGGAGACGTCCAGGTTGGATATTAGGAAACACTATTTCTCAAGGAGAGTGGTGAAGCACTGGAATGGGTTACCTAGGGAAGTAGTAGAGTCTCCATCCCTAGAGATTTTTAAGTCTCGGATTGACAAAGCCCTGGCTGGGTTGCTTTAGTTGAGATTTGTTCTGCCTAGGGAAGGGGGCTGGACTTGATGACCTTCTAAGGTCTCTTCCAGCTCTATGGTTCTATGATTCTATGATTCTGGCTGTAGCTGGTGCTGGGTCCACCTGGCAGAAGAGTTACACATGTCTTTAATTAGTTGTAAGTGGGTCACAAGATCTCGTCCAAGAGGTGAAGATAACGGAATCGCCTGGCAATAGCATTAATGCTGTAATTAAATGTAACATTTGTGTGTGTGTGTGTGTGTGTGTGTGTGTTGGGGGAATACTTAAGGAAGGGTGATCAGACATCCCATTTTAAAGGAGCAGTACTGTGTTTAAGCTCTCCTGTTGGAATCCCAACTTTTTTCTGAAAACAGGCAAATTGTCCAGTATTTTCCATCTCCCCAAATCATTTCCAGTGAGTCCTGCTGCTGGCCAGATCCCTGCTTCCACCAGTGTTATGGGACATCTAGTGGCTGTTGATGGGGTGGGAGTGTGGAAGGCCAGTGATGGGGTGAAAAGGCAGCATGCAGAGGAAGCCACTCTCCATTTTGGTCACTTGCAGGGTCCTCACTGCATGACAACTCTCAGCCAGCAAAGTCCTGACTTTGCTCTGTTTCTGGCCAGCACTGGCTGTGTGCTGCAGTGGCTGATGAGTGTGGGCAGATACCAGGCAGTGACAATTACTTGTCATCACTGTTGTCTACCTATCAGCCCTTTATGTGCATCCCCTCTCATTGTCCTGCTCCCAGTGCTGTGTGGAGACCCAACCTCTGGGCAGAGCACTCACCAACAGCCTGGCCAGCAGGCTCCTTCCTTCCCACTGTGCCTCTGGCTGGGCTGGCACCACAGGAATTATTAAGACCTTCCAGCGCAGGGTGCCACGCAGAGCAGCACTCGGGCGATAATTCCAAGGGCCCCAGCCACCACCACAATAGCTCCAGGCCCTTTTGAATCTCCAGGCCTTGGGGCAACTGCCCCCTTTGCTCTACGCCTCTTGGCAGGCATGACAATTGCAGAGAAGCTAAGAAGTTCATGATCAAACCTATATTAGTTGCTATGCATGGTAAAGTACAAAACTGGCTCCAAAGCAAACTATTAACAAAGGGAGAGATGGGTTGCTAAATTATAGATCCCCCCCCCAATAGCTGTGGTAGAAATAGAAGGAGGGGAAAAACGCAGTTCAACTAGCCTCGCTGATTTGAGATAGACCATGAGAACAGTCAGAAAAGCTGAGTATCAAAATGTTATCTGTTGCTGAGAAGAGAAGCAGTCAAGATAGTTTCCTGATTATTGATATAGTTAGTTTAGTAACTATACTCCGAGAGACAAGATCACTTGTTTATAGCATTCTGCCCAGGAATGGCCACACATACAACAACATTTCTGCCTACCTGTGTCTGCATAGGTCTCTTTGCATTAGCTAATTGTGAGAAACTTTCACTTTATTTTTCATTATCTGTATCATTTTACTGTTAATATAACAGACCACATGGGGAAAAACCTGCCATTTCCAAATATCAGGTTTTATTTTAAAACCAGCCAGTGTCAGTGCAATAGTTAAGATTATAGCCTAATAACGTTATTCTTAATTGAACAGTAACTGATTAATAATGTAAAAAAACAAACAAAATTTGAAACTCAGACCTGAATGGACTGTTCAGAAATATTTCCACTTCCTGATGAGATTCCATTGAATGCATCAATTAGGCCATTGGAGTCTACTGTATCTGTGGCAAAAAGCCGCAAGCCTCCTGAAATGTGATTGTTAAAATAATCAGAATAGTCATTTACTGTAAAACAGTAGGTTTTTCTTACATGCTTTATTCCAGTTTGACTGTTGCGATGAAGCACAGTGTTAATCTGATAAATTAAATAAGGTGCCTTTATTATCCATTGTCCATGCAGGGCAGGGGACCAGTGACCTGGGAAATGATCTCCTAGGTTCACATTTTAACGTCACCAATCTTGGACTCACTAAGGATTGTCACCTGCAGCATTTCATAAAGTGCAGTGCTTAACCATTTATAGGCTGTTCTTGGTAAGTTTGGACTTTGAGCCATGGACCTGTAAAGTGCAATTCCCCTCTGAAATATACTTCTGTAAAAATAACATGATGGCAATCCAGGGCTATTGTTTCTCTCTGACTCAGAATCCACTTACTTTACAAATACAATATTTGTACAAATAGAGGATCTTCAATCGTGGTGTCCATGCCATTGGTTTCAAATGTTGGAACTGAGAGTTTTATTCTTTCTATATTTGTATTTTAGGTTTAGTAATGTAGTAAGGTAATATAAATCATATTTAATATTGTAGTAAGTCAAATTATTTAGTTAAGTATGTATCTCCTATATTTCTGTGTTCTAAAGTGTAGTGAGTAAAAGAGACAGGATCTCATATTGAGACTATGTCAGTGAGATTGGAAATATTGAAGGCCCGGGCCTTCGATGTGAATTGTTTTGATTGTGATTTTACTTAAAAAAAAATTATTGTTTACCTTTTTTAAGGATTCTGTGAGAAAGACTCTCTCTCTCAAAGATGAGTACTGCCTTTTCCCCTATAAAAGATCTCTTGTGCTTTGTTTAAGCAGATAACACAAGCCCTGTATCTGTCAAGGACACCAGTTATGCACCAGTCTCTCCACTTTAAAAGAAGTCCTGCACGGGCGTCTTCCAGTTTTTGGGAAAACAACACCTGCACAAGTCAAAAGTCCAGTGGTGATTTGTGAGTGATGACAGGAACAGGATAGAGAGATCCAGAAGTTCTGAGTCACAGACCGACACACAGGTGGTGGATGTGTGATTCAATCGTCTTGCTTGAGGATTGAGGCAGGTCCAGCATTTCGGCGCTGCACCCATAACAGAGCAGTCCTCTTTAGGACCCACTCTGCTCAGAACAGTCACTTTAGGACGCACTTAAATAGTCTTGCTTCTTTTCTTCCTGGCTGGATAGCCGCATCCAGCAGGCTCACCACCCCAACGGTCAAAAATGCAAGAAACTTTTCAATTTTGGATCCTGGGATGTATGTATCCTGATGGACAGCTCAGACAGTGACTGACCAGAGTGACATACAGCTATCATTGCACGTGAACTGAATTGGTTTAACATGGATATTGCTGTCTTGTCCAAAACTAGAAGAACTGATGAAGGACAGGTGAAGGAGGAGAAAGGAGGCTGCACCTACTTCTGGAAGGGAAAATCTTTAGATGAACCTCGATTGTATGGAGTAGGCTTTGCTATAAAGAACAAGCTCGTAAGATTCCTCTCTGAGCTGCCTGTAGGCATCAATAAGCAGCTTATGACACTCTGATTGAGGCTCACCAGAAACCAACAGGTAACTATTGTGAGTGCCTGTGCACCAATAATGGACACTGATGAGGATGTAAAGGAAGATTTCTACTCTCAAATGGAAACCATTTTATCAGAGACCCCTAAAGAAGATAAGATCATTTTTCTGGGGGATTTCAATGCACGAGTTGGATGAGACTGAGACTTGTGGAAAGGAACAACTGGGAAAGAAGGAGTAGCAAAAGCAACTCAAATAGAATCCTGCTCCTAACCAAGTGTGCTGATCATGAACTTATATCATGCATGCCCTTTTTTGACAAAGGGACACGTTCCAAACATCTTGGAAGTGCTCATGTTCAAAGCACTGTCATCTTCTCGACTAGGTCATAGTTCATGTTCGAGATTGCAGTGATGTACTTTTTACAAGAGCAATGAGAAGTGCTGATGACTGCTGGACTGGTCATCACCTCATTCGATCCACAATGAAAATTAAGACAGCCCCCAAGTGGAGGCTGCACAAGAAGCAGGTCAGGTGCCAGCTGAAGGTTCAAGATCTGAAGGATCCCATTAAGCGTGACCGCTTCCAAAGAAGTCTTAGAAGAAAAGTTCAATCAGAGTTTCTGGAAGAAATTGAGGAACACTCAAGTCATCTGAAAATAAACATTAAGTAAATACAACTGGATTAGCTGACCTTTTTTTCTTTTTTTATTACAAGCTGCAAGTCACCCTACTTTTACAGTCCATGCTTCAAACATGCACATCAAAAGCAGGGTTAGTTTGCAAAATTACTCACCTGTTATGTTTGAAAATTTTTCTAGTTCTGGAGCAGCATCTGGCCCCAAGGCAATGGTGTGAATGATCGAGCCACTGTCTTCCACCTCCTTAAGGCAAATGCTCATACCTGAATCTTCTCCATCAGTCAGCAGTACAATTTCAGAACCATAGAGATTAGAGTATTTTTGTTTAATCACCTGAATAGATAAAAAAATTCAGTTATTACAAATAGGACTTTACTGCAAATGTTAGCCGCTCTAACACAGGCAGTGTCTTCATCAAGATAAATTCTTAAAGTACAAGTGTAAGGCAAAATCCATTCCTTACAACTGTGAATTGTGCCGAAGAGACTGTGTCGTGTGGCAACAACTGAATTGAAGGTGTCTGAATTACCCAGCCTGTACAGGGCACACTGGTTCAGGGAAGAGGTGTCAAAGGGTAGCACACACTTTACAACATTCCAAGTACAGTAGTAATAACTTGTACCCCCTGCTGCCATCCAAGTCCTGCTGCCAATGACAAGATATGCACACGGCATGTGGATGCCTGACCATCCCCCTTGAAGCTATGGACAATTATCTTTACTGCAGATCTATTCTGGAAAGTGACTTGAGAAATCATGGCATATAAAGGTGCCATTTTACATGGCTACTTTTCAGAATAAAAGTGTGCTTAACCAATGTTAAAATAAAAACATTGGAATTTCTTATACGAGAAGCTGTGTGATTTTGATCATCTGCACAGTGCCTTGAGTTGCAAAGCATTCTTGTACGATTGTCTCAAAGTAATCAATGTTTTTCCTTGTATAAACAAGGGGAAGGATAGCTCAGTGGTTTGAGCATTGATCTGCTAAACCCAGGTGAGTTCAATCCTTGTGGAGGGGATTTGGGGCAAAAATTTAGCAGGGATGGTACTTGGTCCTGCTGTTAAGGCAAGGGGACTGGACTTGATGACCTTTCAAGGTCCCTTCCAGTTCTAGGAGATATGCAATCACCATTAATTTAAACATAGCGGGCCCATGTTAATTTCTTAGGCTATACTCCTGGTTCTATCAAACTCAACTGATTGCGCTTCCTAAATCTCTCACTATAAAGCACATGCTCCAAACCCTGCATTGCTCTTGTATCTCTCTTCTGAACCTGTTCCAGTTTCCTCAACATTCTCTCTGGAGTGTGGACATGAGAACCAGAGACAATATTTTAATAATAGTCTCAGTAATCTGTACACAGAGGTGATATCACCTCCCTATTCCTACTCACTATTTTCCTCCTGATTCAATCTCATTATCACTGCATTTCCAGATACATTCTGCATAATGTTCTCCTTCACCTCAAATCCTTTGCGTACTCCTCCACAGATTATAGTTCCTCCACTAGCTGATGTAGGCAGGAATTGGATAAGATTCTGGCGCACTTTCTCACTGATTATTTGTTGTAGATAAGTTTTAATGTACGCTGAAGACTCGAATGTGACAATTCCAACCCAGGAACCCATTTCAACAATTTGTAGCAGGAATATCTCTGCAGCTTGCTTGAGACGATCCATGCGGTTACTCTGCAGGTGAAGAAAGGGATGTACTTAGACTTGGCAAGGCTATTCATGGGAGATATTAAAAACCAAGAATGTTCTTCAGTTTGTACAGATAATTGAAATGTGCCTGTCATAAAGCAGATGAGAGATTTGAGGAGAAAATATGAAAAATTAGACAAATACCCAATGTCCGAGTACCCCAAACTATATTATGTATCAGCCACAGGCATATTCTTTCCAGACACTATAACAGACTGAAATAAATAAAGTGGGGATGAGGAAATTGTGTATATTGGGGAAAGAATACAGCATACGATGATTTTAAAAATAGCTCTTGGAAGCTGGGTAGTTGTTTGGAATGTAAGAATAAAATCTGGGGAGATGGATATATAGAGAGAAGACAACTGAAACTTGCAAAGGTACAGGATCCATAGGCTTTCACATTTCTGCAGTTTCTCACAGGATTCTCACTTCAATGTCTTACATAATGAACACACCTTAGTCAGAGAAGTTACAATCAGTTTCACACATAGAAAATGGGAAATGACTGTCTAGAAAGGAGTACTTCAAAAAGGGATCTAGGGGTCATAGTGGACCACAACCTATATATGAGTGAGTGTGACACTGCTGCAAAAAAAGCAAATAAGATTCTGTGATACATTAACATCACAGTTTTGTAAAAAAGACATGAGAAGGAATTATTCTGCTCTACTCTGATTAGGACTCAATTGGAGTATTGTATTCAGTTCTGGGAGCCACATTTCAAGAAAGATATGGAGAAATTGGAGAGGGTCCAGAGATAAGCAACAAAAATGAGGAAAGGTCTAGAAAACATGAACTGTGAGGGAAGACTGAAGGAACTGGATTTGTTTAGTCTGTAAAAGAGAAGACTTAGAGGACAAATGATAGCAGCTTTCAAGTACCTAAAAGAGTGTTACAAGGAGTAGTAGGGAGAAAAATGGTTCTTGACCTGTGATGCTAGATCAAGAAGCAATGGGCTTAAATTGCAGTAAGGGAGGTTTAGGTTGGATATTAGGAAAAACTTCCTAACTGTTAAATTGTCCTAACTGCAATAAATTGCCTAGGGAGGTTATGGAATCTCCATCATTGGAGATATTTAAGAGCAAGTTAGATAAATATTTATCAGGAATGATCTAGATGGGAGTTAGTCCTCCTTTGAGGGTAGGAGACTGGGCTTAATGATCTCTCGAGGTCCCTTCCAGTTCTAATATACTATTGGATCTACTTTAAGATTGGGAAATTTGAAGCTTTAAACAGGTTGAGAGTCTCTTTAAGGGCTGACATCACATACAGCAGTCTTTCCAAGATGAGATTTATATTAAATTTAGCTCCAGTTTCAATTTAAAAGAGCCTCACCCTGATTAATCCAACGTAATTTACGACATCTTAAATTCTTGACTCAGTAAGACAAATGATTACAAGGAAAAATATTGTATTTATATTTTGCAATACACAGTGGCTACATCTAGACTGGCATGATTTTCCGCAAATGCTTTTAACGGAAAAGTTTTCCATTAAAAGCATTTGCAGAAAAGAGCATCTAGACTGGCACGGACGCTTTTCCACAAAAGCACTTTTTGCAGAAAAGCGTCCATGCCAATCTAGACACGCTTTTATGCAAAAAAGCCCCGATTGCCATTTTTGCGATCGGGGCTTTTTTGCGCAAAACAAATCTGAGCTGTCTCCACTGGCCCTTTTGCGCAAAAGGTTTTGCGCAAAAGGACTTTTGCCCGAATGGGAGCAGCATAGTATTTCCGCAAGAAGCACTGATTTCTTACATGAGATCGTCAGTGTTCTTGCGGAAATTCAAGCGGCCAGTGTAGACAGCTGGCAAGTTTTTCTGCTTTTGCGGAAAAACTTGCCAGTCTAGACACAGGCAGTGGCTTTGCCTACACTGCAGGGCTTTTGCGCAAGAAGCTTTTTGCAGAAAAGATCTTCCACAAAAACTTCTTGTGTAAAAGCACGTCCACACCTCAAAAGCACATCGCAAAGGCTATGTGCTTTTGCACAAGAAGGTGCCCACACTGCATGGATGCTCTTGCACAAGAGAGTACTGATGGCCATTCACAGAATGTGTTGATGTACTTTCTGTGATAGGCTCTTTTTGCACTAGAAACCTCTGGTGAGCATCCACACACACCTTTTTGTGCAAGAACGCTTGCGCAAAAAGGAGTTATGCCTCATAGAAGGAGATATACCTACACCATAAAAAGCACAAAACCCCTGTAGTGTAGACATAGCCAGTGTCTTACATATTTATTTTGAAAATAAAGTAAAAGAGTCACACATCTTGAAAAATATCATGAAACTCACATCTATGATATATTTTATGTTTTGGGAAAGTACAGTGATTCTCACATTCTGAATCTGAAGCTAAATAAAGACACTGAAATTGGCATATCATTTTTAGTAATTTGATAGGTTTCCTGTGAATAATCTCTAAAGCAAGGCTGGGCAAGATGCAGCCAAGGGGACGGATCTGGCCTGCCTACCACTTTGATCCAGCCTGTGGTTTGCATCTGGCCACTTTCTATTTATATCCTGCTGCCCGTACCACTGAATTTCCAGGCAGCGGCTCAGGCAGCAGGATCCTATTTAAATGGCTCGCAGCTCCCAGTCAGAGTGCTACCCTGTCAGGGGCTGGAGCCACGAGCCCTTTAAATAGCCTCAGCAACCCTGAATGGCTGCCAGGCAACACAGCACCAGTGGGGCCGGGAGCCCTTTTCTGTGTTTATAATTCAAAAGCATCTGCCCCAGACAACTTTGGGGGGAGGCTAGTCCCCAGCCCCACTTCTTCCGCCTCAGGCCCTGTGCCTTCTGGGATTGGAGCTAGCCTGTGACCACATACCAAAATTCATGAAGTGGCCCCTTTGTGAAAACGTATTGCCCACCCCTGCCCTAAAGATATATAATGGGAGAAATAGTGGCTTTAACTTTTGCTTAAAGAATAAAGGATGATTGCTGAAATATTGACCACATAAAATACCATAATATGTAAACCACAAATTTATGACTATTCCTAACTGTTTCTATGCTTTCGTGTGAGAAAGAACTTAGGAATGTTTGTTCTTACCGAACTCATACTCCCGGAAGTGTCGAGTACTAGACAGACTACTCTGTCTTTGGTCTGCAGCAGTGTGAAGGAGGTCTCATATGGGGGACTACTGCCATTTATTGGAGAGGAGTTGCTGAAGTCAGAAGAGTTCATAATGACTTCCCAGGTGCTTTTGTGGTTGCACATTTTGTTCTGCATATTTACAGCCTTTTCATTATGAGTGTTTTGATCACAGAACTCAACCACCTACAAAAAGTCAATTGGAAGAGAAGAATGATTACTGAAAAAGCATGTGAACATGTGTAGTAGCAAATCCCAGTCTACTATTGTTCTGTTGTTCACCGCAACCACAAATACACAACATTTTTGATAGTTAAAAGGCTATAGAGAGTAAAATCCTTGTATGTCCTGAACTTTGGAAAAATCATTGAAAAAGTACTAACTGATTACACCAGCAGCAAATATCATGCAAGGAGAGAGGAGGTAAAAGAACAAGTTGTAACCAAAGTTCCCATTAATTTTTTTCCATCCTTGTGCAGAATACATTTTGTTATGTGTACTGGGGCATGTGCAGATACTCACAACCAATAGAAACACATGCTGCTGACTGTGGGTGGCTGTAGGAACTCTGCGAATCAGCTAGGTGGCATTTGAATCTCTCCTGGGCACTGTCCAAATGCACAGCTCACAGGGAACACTGGTTGTAACCAAACTCAGGACTGCCCAGAAAGGAGAACAAAGCTCTGCTTCTTCTGAGAAAAGCCTGGTGACAACCCGTAGTCTGAGTCAGCGCGCAAGCCTAGGAAGCTCCTTCATGGAGGTAGAGCTCCTGGGGACTCAGAAGCAGCATAAACTGTTGGACGACCCTGTCTGAAATTGTACTTTTATTGTTTTTGTTCTTGATTTCTTTGGACCTTAACACACTGGAAAGGGAAGGACTAAAGTGTGCCTTGGCTTTTCAGGGGTCTCAGACTAGCCCCTAGCCCAGAGGTGGGCAATAATTTTTGCCCAGGGGCCAATTCAAAATTTTTCGAACTAGCCCAGGGCCACCCCAGAAGGGGCAGGGCCTAAACAGGAAGGGGGGGGGGCTAACCCACCTTCAGACCATAATTGGACAAGGCTTGGCATGATCCTCCGCCCCCAGGCCAATTAAGGCTTGGGGGTGGGGAAGCGTGTGAAGCCTCCTCTGCTCTCCCTCCCCTTCTTCTCCCCTTTCCTGCCCCCCCGCCCTGAGAGCAGTGTGCAGTGATTCAAAGCGCCATGTGCTCCTGCAGGGTAGGAGGAGGCTTTGGGTGCTCCTCTTCCCCCAGGCCCTAATTGGCCTGGGAGCAGGGGAGCAGCAGGGTCTCCACGAGCCAGATCCACCCAATTGGTGGGCCGGATCCAACCTGCGGAGGCTCTTTTGCCCACCCATGCCCTAGCCCTACCCCTTCCACCCAAGGCCCTGTCCCTTCAAGAGGCCCTGGTGCCAAAGGCCTCCCCCTCAATATTGTTGAGGGCCCTGCAATCCAGTAGCTTTTCTTGAAACTTTGCAGCAGGTGGCAGTGGTAGCATGGTGGCTGCTGGAACACTGAGCAGTCTTATTATTCATATACTTGACTAAGATAGAACTATAGACTGCTTTTTGCAGGCTAGGCCCAGTGATAGCACAGGATTATGCCTCCAATAGAAGAGTTTATGCCCAAATCAAGGTGGCCATTTTAGACTCATTGGATATCTCAGAGAACGCATTCCACCATGATATTTGGAGGGACAATCTTCTCTGGGGATCTGGCCTTGCATGGCAGCACAGCAACTCCAGGCGGTGGCTAAAACCTAAGATAAAGACTGGGGTTCAACTAATTGTAATAGTTTTTCTTTAACAATTTACTGGACTTAATACGAGAAATATGGGAGGAGCAGGGGCCCCAACCTATAAAGATTGTGCAATATGTCTTTGCCCTTTGCAAATGATTAGAAGTCTTGGGCACCTTAGAAAGAGAGAATCTCCTGAATGCCCAGCATGCCAAAGAGACTTCCTAAAACAAATCATCTCCAAGTGTTCAATGGTAAGGATTGGGGCTAAGGAGAGACTGTTAATCCAGTTGGCTCACCTCACTGGATATGGAGCAAATTTGGGCCTGGGGAGGGAAGAACTGGAAACGCAGCCCAGAAATCAAAGGGGAAGTTTTTGGGCAGTGTGAGGGGTAGAAAGAGGCTTGGACCTTTGAACAAAGAAAATTCCTCCTGTTGTTTTATTCCTGCCTTCGTCAGACTATATTCTTTGTAATTAAACAGGAAGCAACAAAGAAATCATCAGCTTGTCTTAATGGAAACAACTGTCAAGATCCCAAATATTGGCTCTCCACTTGAGTCAAAAAGGGGCAACAATACTTACAGAAGGGAGGCTTTGCATGTACATTATAGATGCCGGGGCATTTTGTATTTTATCTGGTACAAATTTACATCCAGCTTCATACAGCTTTGTTTGTTGATCATATTTGCACTGCCTGCGTATGCAGATGTTTCCCGTGCAGCCATCAAATCTGTATTTACCAGTGATACTAGCTGAACACCAGAAGGGACATGAAATAGAAAGATGCTTAATTAACCAGACACATACAATAAACAAATAATGATCTTCTGTTATTTATTATTGGAATTATTGGAAGGAGGTGTAACAGATAATTCGAACTAAGGACTGAGTTTGAATTACCGTTTAACTGCTGCGTGTAGCTGCGGGCAGTTAGTCCGGACTAGTGGCATTTAAAAATGGCGGCCGGACGAGAACATGCAAATAAAGCCCAGGATATTTAAATCCCAGGCTTCATTTGCAAGTTTGAATGCCTACATTAGCCTCCCTAGTTCAAACTAGGGGGCTAGTGTAGACATACCCTCAGGTATGTAAAATATAGAGAACATTGTCATAAGATAATAGCCTTAAAGTGGTTTGATAATTGGGTGTGTATCTTAATAATGTCCTTTTTTGAAAAACAACATGAACTAGTAAGACTTTAGAACTTTCTAGGCTCACTCCCCAGAGGAGCTTGAGAAAACATTCTTATTTATTATATGCTAACTGCTATTCGATAAAGTTATAGCAAATAAAAATGTAGAGAACATGTAAAATGTAGAGAACAAATAAAAATGTAGAGAACTCAGATCTGCAATTGGACCTACATTAAAAACTCATGTAAAGATAAAAATGTGATAATTATAAAATGAGAGTGGCTGCAATTCAGTGACACTGATCTGTGGGTAGCAATATTGCTAAACATTATCCTATAAACTTCTATTTTAATCATATGAAGAACAATTCACAAGGACTCTTCACACAGTGCTCTAAGTACAGACCACATAGAGATAACCAGTATTGGACAAATGACATTGGATTGTTTAAAATTTCATCAGCTGAAGTAAAAATTTAAAAACACTATATAAATATTAAAATATAATATATAAATATATATAATATATAAAAATACCTAGTTGCTTCAACACTCGCTATTCCACCATTTACAGACACATAGAAAGGTGCATCATTATTATATTCATCAAACACTCCCCAACGAAGATGGGCCCATTCATGGACAAAAACTTTGGCTGTGGAAGAGCAGAGTATTTGTGAATTCTAAATACAACACTTTCCGATTTACTTTATATGTCAGTACGTCTGTGTTTTTCCACACTTTTTTTCTCCCGACACAGGGGAAGAAAATTGTTGATGCTTGTGACCCAACATAATTACATCTTTTGACTAGAGTGCGGGGGCCAGGAATGAGATCACTGTATTCAGATTAACTCTTCCAGACTATTAACAGAACTGGAGTAAAGATCTATTACCCCTGTTCATATATAGTAGCTTCTGATTATTCCTTGTATCAAGCAAGGTGTCTTGTGTTACCCATAAGCGACAAGGAGCCCTGTGGCATCTTATAGACGAACAGATCTATTGGAGCATAAGTTTTCGTGGGCAAAGACCCACTTCGTCACATGCATGTTACCCATGTTATCTAAAATAAAAATTATTGGTTCTCATATAACACAAAGAAAAAGATGTATATTAGAAAACCACAGAGAAGTTAAACTTCAGCTCAGAGTAAAACTAAGGATAACTTAGTTAAAGCAGATCAAATATAGAAGATTAGAAAACCAAACGAACTCACCAAGACAAACACTTTCTTCCAGATGCTATTAATGCCATTGACAAGGAGAATGTATATAGTGTGGTCTTACTAAAGCTTTCTATTAGAGATGGAGCAAGGAAGCAGAGCTCAGCTCAGATTAAATTTAAACCAGAATTCAAAGTTTGAGTACAATGTCTCACCAGCCTAGAATTTGAGTTGAAATTTGCCTTTACTAGAGTCCAGTAAAATGTTCCAAATAGGTTTTTTGTCCCCAAAAGGCCAAAACTCGGATGAGAAAGACAGTTCTTGTAGGATTTTCAACATTTTAGGTCTAATGCAGGTTTGTTTGGGATTTGAATCCAAACAATCTTGCACCTTTACCATTGTTTGGGTTTGAGCGACTGGTTTTTCATAGACCTATTTTGCTTATTAATGGTCTTGCATAGCAATGACAGTGCAGTCAAAAATGTACTGAAGAAATCAAAATGCAATATCGTTAATTCCTTGTGAATGTACACTTACAGGAAGGGTAGCTGGGCCAATGTGACTTTCAGAAGTTCTAATAACAACCATCAAATCCTCAGAGCAGGATCAGCTCATGAGAGTTTGGTCTATTCTAGAATCCACTGGGACTAATTTTTACTTGCATGGTCACCAGGTTACACCCATTGCCAATCTCCAACTAACTTGCTGCTCCGTGTAATGTTAGGACATATGGTATTTCCAAGTCAAAGCAATGATTTAAGAGGTAAAACAGCCCTCACTTACTATAAAATATTAGCTAAAATTTTCAACAGAGGCAGGTAATTTTAGGTGCCCCCATTTCTGAGTGTCCAACTTAAGACCCCTGAAGGGAGGAAGCCTGATGTTCAATACTTTTATAAAAAAGCAGGTTCTTTTTGTCACAGATTGGGAAATCAAAAACTGAGGCACCCAATTCACTAGTCACTTTGGAAAATCTTGGCCATGGCATATTTATATAACAAAAACAGAAAATTAAGGTCCAATAGATGTTACCTCGTGATCCATAGATATTTTGCAAATTGTCATTTAACAGGAAGTTGGGAGTGAAATGAATATATCTTCCCCTTCCCCCACATCCTGTGTAGGGATCGTCTCCATACTTCAAGAAAGGATCAGCCACAATAACATCTGCCTAAAACCAAAATGACCCTTGTTTAAAGAGCAGCAGGAAACTGAGATGATTCTGTTGAATTGGCTCATCCTACAGCTTTTACTCAGGCATCACTCCCATTGATTGTTCCCCGGGGTCAGGACTGGAGACAAGAGGGCAATGCAAATTCTAAAAAGAACAATTTATATTTCTACATTATGGAAAAAAATAGGACTTGTCTATACAGTGAGGTAATGCGCATGACAGGGCTGATTTCTAAAGTGCAGCATCACATTAAAGTGCAATAGGGTACATTTAGTACACCTGAGCAGAGCCTACAAGAAGCAATTAATAAGCAACATGATAGTGTAGTTTAGAAATCGCACCCCCGCAGTGTACATTACTTCACCAAATATACAGGACCCCATGAACAGAAAAAAATATTTTTTATTTCTGAAGAGTGTTCTAAGTTCTTACCTTATCATATGACTCTGTTTTTACATTTAAATACTCAGTTTTTGACTGCCAATGCAGAGGAATTATAATTTTTACAGCCTTGAAAAAAACCCTCTGTTTTGTAGCATTGAACAAGTAATTCGACGCCTCTTTCACCATGGCCTGATAAGGAAAGAAAATATTCATGAATTGAAAATTGAAGTGGAACAATTTAGTTTCACTAGGAAACAAGAGTACACAAAGTAGCAATAAATATGTAAGGACACAGAAGGAAATCAACCTTTGCCATGGGAAAGGCAGCAGAGATTATTTCCCTCATGGAGCAAGAAGAGACCAAATTATAACTCTATAAATGTCTGAATTGCTCCTAAGGCAATACAACTATACACTGTCCCTTACTCTGGGCTTATGATAAAAACCACAATCTATCCCTGACAGAGAATCTTCCAAACATGGAATTTCCTCAAAAAAGTTACATGAGCCTGAGGTAAGGGATGGTTCAGGCCTGGACCAGTCTTTTTCATTGATCAGCAAAGTATACTGTGATGCTTGATAAATAAATTAAAATGATAAATAGTAAATAATAATCTGAAGTTCTCTTTTGCTTATCCCTGGGATTCCTCTTTCCTCTGCTCCACTTCTGTTAATGTCTACTTTTTTCCTGTCTCTACCATTGGCACTACTTTGTCACTGTTTTCATATTACCCCTTTCATTGCTCTCCTACCCTATTTGAGTAGGTTGGGGATTACTAGATAATGGCAATGCCCTAGGGTTGCCAGCTGGTTTCAACAAAAATACTGGACACACTTGACATTACATTAAAATCTACATTACATCTTATTTAGAAACTACCAGACTTTTATATTTTCTCATTTATATTTTCTCAATTTGTTTCCCGAACAGAAAGCTCTAATGTGGGACTGTCCGGTTCAAAACCAGACACCTGGCAACCCTACTATGCCCTCCCCCGTTTATTGTTTTCTTCACAGCAACTTAATGCTCAATGTCCAAATCAGGTGAACCTGGAGCAACAATCTACATTGTGAAATTGAGAAGTAAAGAATAACTAAAAACAGAAATATCACTATATACACCAATGGTTTTTAAGAATAAATGCCTGCTAGGATGGGGAAAGGAGGGATAAAAGCAAACTTTGTAGTGAAGGTGCAGTAAATTGCTACTAAATGTCTATGTTCTGGAGTTCTTCTAGTCCAGGGTAGGGATGTTAAATAATGGTTAATTGAATAATCGATTAACCTCTAGCCCCACTCCTGAGGAGCCCCCTGCAACTCCATGCTGTTGCCTCTGTAACTACAGCGTGGGGTGCCAGGCAGGAGCTGGTCTGTGAGGGGAGCCAGTTTAAAGACCAGCTCCCCTCACGGACCAGCTGTCAGTTGCCCCATGCTGCTGCCTCTGACACAAAGGCAGCAGCATGAGGTAGCAACCAGCCCTTGTCTGGTGGGAATGTCTGAGTTCCAGAACCCCACAGGAGTCAGAACTGAGCCGGGCTGCCTGCCTGACTCCTAATACACTTTAAATGCAAAGCCACGGTGAGGGTAGGTCCTGGATCCAGTGCAAGCTGGGACTAAGTTGGGCTGATGGCCAGCCAGCCGTCTCAAAATTTTACTGTCCAGGGAGAAGATGGGAGGGGGAAATGCGTGTAGTCTATAGCATTAACCTACAGGTTGAACTTCCAAAATATGGGACTCTGTGGTCTGAAAACATTCAGAGAGCACCAGCACCCAGGAGTGTGAACCAGCTGGGAGCTCCACTTGGTCTCCTACCCTGGGTGCCGCTCCAGCTTTTCTTGTGGAAGGGAGGATCAGCACATGTGCACTTCCCCACAAGCTGGATCCAGCATGGCACCTCAGGGTGTCCCCCCCCCCCCACACACACACAAGAAGCTGGTGCTGGCTCCAGTCTTGCAGAGGGCATGATGCTGCATCACTTGGCACAGGCGCCCCATTGTGGGAGGTGGGGAGTGCGGGGGAGCCCGTTCATTGTACGTGCCACTGAAAATCATTTTGCATGCCACTAATGGCACATGTGCTGCATGTTGCTCACTTTTGTTCTAGTCTAAAGTGCTCATGATTTGGAAAGAAATAAAGGAGGCGATAAACAGACTCAACCTGAGCCCAAGCAGAAATATTCCTGTTACACTTCAAGAGATCATTACACCCATTTCATTTGGACCAGCACTCAAAAAGAAAAATTCAAGACAAGAACAAATGTAATAATCCTGGAATTGATTTAGCACCTATGAAAATTAAAAAACAAAACAAAACTTGCTGAGATATGAATGAGAGTTGGAACTGGTCTTTTAAGATTACTGCTACTTTAGAGGTAGAACTAACCAAGAAGACTGAATGTCACTGACAAACACCAAAGTTCTTACCTGTATGTTTTTGATGATATTCTCATCTTCTGGTAACTCAGGATTAATCGCAATAACAATATCCTCATAGCCACCATTTTTCAGCTTTACCATAGAACCGCTCACTACATGTAGAAGAAATAAAAGAATCAAGGTCCTGGACACCCTCATTGTCTTTCCCCACTATTTTTGTTGTTAAAACGAGGGCACAGCAGAGCTATTTATACCATTACTTTATGGTGAGAACTTATAGATCTGCAACGTAGACTGGTTGCATAACTGTGTTCAACCTCTTGGTGTCAGGTCACATATTAATACACCGGGGAAATTCCCAAAGCTAAACCCAACCTGTATTTCCTTATCCAATTGATGCATCTTTGAATTACGTATGTCATATTGCCATATTATTGTAAATACGTTGTAAGGCATTTACAGTACAGTATGGCAAATGATCAACTTGTAATCACTGTAGTTTGGCATCTCTGTTCAATGCAACAGCTATGTACCACTGAATGGGACAAATGGAGATTGAGTGGCAAAAGCAAATCAGTGCTAAGCTATGTAATTTGGCAGAGATGCTTTAAATAATACCATATACATTTGTCATTCCTGCCACTATTTGAAATCTGCTAAATCTACTATATAAATAAAAGCAGTGAGGAGTCCTGTGGCACTTTATAGACTAACCAAAGTGTTGGAGCATAAGCAAAGACCCACTTCGTCAGATGCATGTAGTGGAAATTTCCAGAGGCAGGTATAAATATGCAGGCCAGAATCAGGCTAGAGATGATGAGGTGGATCCAATCAGGGAGGATGAGGCCCACTATTAGTAGCTGATGTGGCGGTGTGAATACCAAGAGAGGACAAGCTGCTTTTGTAGTTAGCGAGCCATTCACAGTCTTTGTTTAATCCTGAGTTGATTGTGTCAAACTTGAAGATGAACTGTAGCTCAGCAGTTTCTCTTTGAAGTCTGGTCTTGAAGATTTTTTGCTGCAGGATGGCTACCTTTAGATCTGCAATTGTGCGTCCAGGGAGATTGAAGTGTTCCCCCACAGGTTTTTGTACATTGCCATTCCTAATATCTGAGGGTATGTCTACACTACAGCACTAATTTGAACTAACTTAATTCGAATTAGTTAATTCGAACTAAGCTAATTCGAACTAGAGCATCTAGACCTAAAAACTAGTTCGAATTAGCATTTTGCTAATTCGAACTAGCATGTCCACATTGAGTGGACCCTGAACCGGGGTTAAGGATGGCCGGAAGCAGTGCCAGCAGGGCATCAGATTAGGACTTAGAGCGTGAAGCTGCTGTCTCAGGCTAGCCGAGGACTGTGCTTAAAGGGACCCGACCCCCACCCCGGACAGACAGTTCTCAGGGGTTCCCCACTCACTTGTCTAACTCGATGAGGGACAGCAAAGCAGTCCTGGCTTGGAATGCCCTGAGTGCCTGCACTCGGCACATCACAGCACTCGGCCATCAGCTCAGCTGCACTTGCCGCAGGCTGCCAACCAGGGAGGAGGGTCAATCGGGGTGCAGGAGGAGAGCTTCCCCCCCGAGGAGCCCGCAGAGCCAGCCCAGTCCTCCCCATCGGGGGCTCGTACCCCAGTCCTCCCTCGCCTCCTTCCACTTACCCCTCCCTAGCCCCCCTTCCTGATGTACAAAATAAAGGACACGTGTGTTCAACAATAGAAATTCTCTTTATTGAACAAAACTCAGGGAGACTGGGAAAAAGAGGTGGGAGAGGGGAAGAGAGAGGGTGGGAGAGGAGAGGGCAACTAAAATTATCAGGGGTTTGGAACAGGTCCCATATGAAGAGAGGCTAAAGAGACTGGGACTTCTCAGCTTAGAAAAGACGAGACTGAGAGGGGATATGATAGAGGTCTATAAAAGCATGAGTGGTGTGGAGAGGGTGCATAAAGAAAAGTTCTTCATTAGTTCCCATAATAGAAGGACTAGAGGACACCAAAGGAAAGGAATGGGTAGCAGGCTTCAAACTAATAACAGAAAGTTCTTCTTTGCAAAGCAAATAGTCAACCTGTGGAACACCTTGCTGCAGGAGGCTGTGAAGGCTAGAACTATAACAGAGTTTAGAGAGAAGTTAGATAAAGTCATGGAGGTTAGGTCCATAAAAGGCTATTAGCCAAGGGATAGAAATGGTGTCCCTGGCCTCTGTTTGTCAGAGGCTGGAGATGGATGGCATAAGACAAATGGCTTGGTCATTGTCTTCGGTCCTGCCCTTCTGGGGCACCTGGTGCTGGCCACTGTCGGCAGACAGGCTATTGGGCTAGATGGACCTGTGGGCTGACCCAGTACGGCCATTCTAAGCTCAGGGCTCAGGGTCGGGGGTCTCACTGGACCACCTTGATTTTCATGCAAACCTGCTCCTGGGTGGCCAGGCTGGCAGCTATCCTGCCCTAGACGGCCACTTTTCTGTGCCTAGTGTGGAGGTCATGGATGAGGTCCACGATGTCTGCACTAGACCAGGCGGGCGCCTGCCTCTTGCGGACCTGGGCAGGCTCCCGAGAGCCGCCAGCCTGGTCCCGGGAAGAGGCGGAGGGCAGGGTGGCAGCAGGTGGCCGGCTCGAGCCATGCCAGGTGCAGGGTCTGCTGGCTGGGTGCTGGCAGGCTTGCACCTGGCACGGGCACCATAGCCAGCCCGTGCCCCTTTAAGGGCTCCGGGGCCAGAAGAGTTTCCCTGGTGGGGCAGAGTTTCCCAGGAGGGGGGGCAGAAGAGTTTCCCACCAGGGAAAGCTGGGGAGGGCTAGCCTCCACCTAGTTCGAATTAAGGGGCTACACAGCCCTTAATTCGAACTAGTAAGTTCGAACTAGGCTTAGTCCTCGTAAAATGAGGTTTTCCTAGTTCGAACTAAGCGCTCCGCTAGTTCATTCGAACTAACATCTGTTAGTTCGAATTAACTTTGTAGTGTAGACATACCATTTATTCTTTTACGTAGGGACTGTCCAGTTTGGCCGATGTATGTAGCAGAGGGGCATTGTTGGCACATGATGGCATATATTACATTAGTAGATGTGCAGGAGAATGAACCAGTGACAGTATGGTTGATCTGGTTAGGTCCTGTGATGGTGTTGCTGGTGTATATATGTGGGCAGAGTTGGCACCGAGGTTTGTTGAATGGATTGGTTCCTGAGTTAGAGTAATTATGGTGTATAGTTGCTGGTGAGAATATGAATCAGGTTGGCAGGTTGTCTGTGGGCGAGGACTGGCCTACCTCCCAAGGCCTGTGAAAGCGAGGGATCATTGTTTTAAATGATGATTGTAATAATTATTGTAAGTAGTAATAAGTATAATGTATTTTGAATTTGCAAGAAGAAATGGTGTTTAAAAGTAGTAAGAAGGAATTGTTTTAGTAAGGTTTGTTGACCTCTGTTTGCTCTGTAAGAAATCTTTGCTCTGCAAGAAGTCTTGCTTTTGAAATTATTTACTGTTCTGTGTGTGAGTCACTGTGAGTGAAAGGAAGTATGGTATGGTAACAGATAAGGGCTAGGAGGTGCTAGATGGGAAGAGTGACCAAGAGGCAGCGAAGATTCGAGATGCACACCCAAACTATCAGGGTCATTTCGATGACTGGAGAAAAGCAAACTGATGACTTGAAAGTACACACCCTTGAAGATGAGATAAAAGTGGAACCAGAGAGGTAAGATAAGAACTGTGTGGTGGAAATTCCAAGAAACTACTCAAAATGGTGCTGATTGGGGGCAAGCTTGATTATTTTGTGATTAACAGCTCCAGTGAGACACAGCAAAGCCCTGCAGATTTGCAAGGGAACTTACTACTATAAAAGAGGGGTGTATTGCCATGGTCCCTCCCCTGCAGGTGCTGCCCTTCTGCTTCACCCCTAGAATTCCCTGGCACCTGCAACTTCCCTTAGCCCTGCACCCTCCTGGTGCTCCCCCTTCCCTCACTGCCTCTTCCCCCTTTGCCCTCTTTTTCCCTGATGCCCATCCCCTCACCACCTTCTGCCCCCATTCCCCTCATGCCCCTGTGCCCTCACATGTCTTGCTCCATCCCTGCCTTCCTCATGCCCACCCCTTCTTTCAAGCCTTCTCCCAGCACCTCCCCCTCAAAACCCCAATGCCCTTCCTTTCTCCTCTCCCAGCATCACTCTGTCCCCCCCCCCCACTGACATCTCCCCTCTTGCCTTTTTCCTCATTATCTGCACTTTACCCCCTGGCATTTGTCTCTCCTCCACCCTGTTCCTTGGTGCTTTCCCCTTTCTTCTCCTGACCTACCCGCTCCTCCTCAGCACAGGCCTCTTCCTCTCCCACCCCTGCCTCCTCCCCCCCCTGCCTATTTTCCTCCTCCTCCCTTTCCCTTACTTTAGGCTAAGCTGGCTTCTGCCTTCCAGCTTGCTGGGCTGGAGTCAAAGCCAGCCCAAGCTACAGGCCGGCCGGGACGTAGCCTGGGGTTCTTCACTTTAAGGGTACCACGCGGTGCGGCCGGGCTGGGCGGGGCCAAGGACAAGGCACCGTGTGCAGAAGGGGTGTTGTGCAGTGCTTCCAGGATGGGTAGGGGGCGGGGCTGAGGACAGGGCCAGGGCTGGGGCTGTGGTCCCAGGGGCAGAAGGGGCACTGCACGGTGCTGCTGGTCCAGGGCCGAGGCTGGGGCTGGAACCCCGACCCTGGGTGCAGAAAGGGAGCCATGCAGTGCGAAGGGGCTCTGTGCAGTGCTTCCAGGATGGGTAGGGGGCGGGGCTGAGGACAGGGCCAGGGCTGGGGCTGTGGTCCCAGGGGCAGAAGGGGCACTGCACGGTGCTGCTGGTCCAGGGCCGAGGCTGGGGCTGGAACCCCGACCCTGGGTGCAGAAAGGGAGCCATGCAGTGCTGCCAGGCCGGGTGGGGTGAAAAAACAGCTTGGGCTGGCGTCTTTGGTCCGGCCCCAGCTGCTTCCGCTGCACACACACACTCTCTGCCCCAAAGTGCCCTGTAGATGGCCGCGGGGAAAGTGACGGGCTGTGGTACCCCGTCTCAAATCCCCCTCCTCCTCCAGCAGCTGCTAGCCAGCCCGAGACATTAGGGTGTGTCTGGGCACACCCATCATACCCTGTGCGCACGCCTATGGTTTGTTCTGCAAATACATTGGGGCTTCATATGCATTTGACAGAGGACCAGCCCCTCCTGCCTTCTGTGAAGCTTCACCTGG